ATTTTTGACATTTCCCAGTAATGTAAGAACTATAAGACTAAAAATCCTTCTCTGCTTAACATTGCAGTTCCTCTGAAAACTATCTTAGTTTCTCTTGCTTCTGCTCATGGTTCCACTACGCATGGTTCCCAGGAATGTTACTGTATTTAACTCCCCTGGCCCCTTGATTCACTGCCCAGGCCTGATGGAGTGTCTTATCTGATTGATACTGCTTGGAAGAATTATCTAGGCCTGCTTGGCTCGACTCCTCTTTTTCTTCCTTTAAATGCTCTGTTTTGCTCTTCTGGGAACAGGTTCTGCCGCTACGTGGAAGGCTTTCCCTGGTTCAGCACTGCCAATAGATAAATTAGACTGATTCTGGGTTTTACCATCAGCCCTTGACTCTCACTATAACTATATTCCTAGATTAGTCTTTATGAATACTAAATGTGGGAAGGTCATGGTCTTCCATTTGCCTACCTCATTTTACAGTCTTACTTTGTTCAGGTGGAGGAGACAGGTGCTACTTACTGCTTCCCTCTCAACCCCACTCATCAGAGCCTGATACAAAAAAAATTTCACTCCCCCATTATAATAGCCCTTTTCAAATATCTTGCACATCATAGGAGTTTAGCTCATGGATGCTCATGTAATGATTGATTAAGAATAAAGAAATGAATGATAAATGGGTTAAACAAGGAGCACTTTGCTTACTAATCTCTGACATAACTTCTTCAAAGACGAGGCTTTTTTTTTTTCAAGAGATGCCTGACATTTCCCTCAAGAATTTAATAGTATTATACAATGGTAGGGAAAAGTTGATTTGTTTATATCCAACCCTCTTGAATGAATTCTCCATCAGCATATTCTGTATTTTCTTTTCATCATTCTTTAACCCATTCCAATCTGGCATCACCCATCACTCTACCGCAAACACTTCCATAGCAGGTAGCTAATGTCACCAATGACCTTCATGTTAATTTTCTACCTATTTTATATCTTTGTCTTTCTGGACTGTTCCAAATCTTTGTCCAAAGCCAATTGCTTTCTGCTCCTTTGCATGGTTTCTATGGCACCACAGTCAGCTGGTTTTCTTATTAATGCCACAGCTGCTTTCCTCATCAACATTTTGCCAGTTCCTCCTTACAGTGACTCTTAAAGGTTGGAGTTCTTCAGACAGCTGCTCTAGGGAATCTTGTCTTCACTTCTCACACCGTTTCTCTTGGCAAATTCATTTACTCATGGCTTAAATTATAATATAATCCAGCCATCTGCTGTTGTCTTTGGAGTTGATCCTCTCCAGCCAAGAACTCTCTGATTTGACATCTCCATTGCAGGATTGGCAGGGGCCTGTCACTCAGCATGTCCAGAACCATGCCCATTGTCCTCCCTCACCCACAGAGTCCTGCTGCTCCTCTCACGTTCCATCCCTCAGAGAATTACTTTGCCTCCCACCAGGGTTACCAGGACTTTTCCTTTCTCCTTATTAGTCTATTTTTTTTTCTTTTTTGGAAATCAAACAAAATTCTACACTCCAAATATTTTATCAATCAGCTTTTTCCCATTCTCAAGCTACAACACCATTTTTTTTTTATTTTTCAATCTGAAGCACACAAAAATAACCCACTGCTGGCCTATAAGCCCACTCTTGCCACCCTCAAGTTCCCACTCAGTTGAGGGGATATTTTTAGAAAATGAAAATCCAATTTTGTCTTCTCCTAGATCGTTATCAATACCTTCTCATTGCTTTTGGGATACAGTTCCAAATCCTGAGACCATATGAGTAAGGCCTTGCCTGATCCAACCCCTGTTTATCAATTTCTCCCTTACTTCCTTCTGAAAGAAGTCCCAGATTTAATAGCCTTTGGAAAAGAGGCTTTCCTTGACTGTGTAAGATTAGGTGAATACCCATGTGTAAGACTCCGTCTTTACTTTTTCAGTAGCTCTCATCACACTTAAAATTGGATGAAGATATAAGATTATATGAAGACTACACATGACTTCATTTGAATTTCATCAAAGCAAGAATCATGCCTCCCTTGTTCACTCTTCTATCCTCAGTGCCTGGCACCAGTGGAATACTTAATAAATATTGTTAAGTGAACTCTGAATCAGTGCATCAGCTTGACCTTGCATTGTAACTTTTCATTGCAACATGAGGTTTCAGTATATTCCACTTACATACCACAGTGTGTTCCACATATTGCAGCAAAGAGAATTTAATGAGAATGATACTACTTCCTTGTGCTGCTTCTTTCCTACACAACTTACAAAGTTAGACTCTCTATGCAGAATCAGGGAGACTACAACACTAACATCCATAATATTTTCATAACTTCCCCCCTTTATAAGGGCAAGGCAATCAAAGCTTATATAGTATTCTTTTGTTTCCTAATTTCTAAAAGATAATTTAATATTGCTCTCTTTGATTAATGTAGATAAGGAAAAAAATGACCTAAGGAACTGCTGCTTCAATTTACTTGTTTGTTATCTTTACTTATTTTCATAGTTATAACAATAAGTACCAATATATGCAAAGACATATTCAAGAAAACTTCTCCCATCGCTGTCCAATTTTAGTATCCTAAAGTAATCATAATCGACAGTCTGTTGTACATCATTCCCACTACTTTCATGTTCTGTAAGTCAATTTAAAATTAGGGACTTTGGTGTTGGCTTATTTAGAAAAATAGGATTAATAATATGCATTGAATTACTCTTTAAAAGAGTCATTATAAGCACCTTTTTGGGTCAGTGGATATAGATCTGACTCACATTGTTTTTAAAACACATAGTTTTCCATAGTAATGATAAACACATTTTAATTGATCATATTTTTTAAAAGACATTCATACCATTTCTAGGGTTTTGTTACTACAAACAATACTATAATAAATATTATTATATAGATATTCTTATACAACAATGCCTTTATTTCTAGAGGATATGTCCTCAAAGTATAATAACTGAGTCAAAGTATATGTACATTTGCATATGTGTATGTACTTTAATTTTCATAGCAGGTGATTTCCCACACAATTGCAGAGTCACCCCACGTTGCCTCTTTTTCTAGTCCCATCCCTCTGAATCTCTGTTGTGCTCTCCTTGCTGTGTCAGGGTTCAACGGTCCCTTTAGGGGAGCTTCTGAAGCATATTTTCTTCTCATTTATCCTAAGGATTTCTCCTTTTTCTAGGTTATATCTGCTCTATTCTTCCTTGGCATGTAAGGCTCATGGTCTGTTCTTAATGGCAGAAATTCTAACTGGACGGGGACGGGAGTTGTGGCTCAGTGGTAGAGCACTTGCCTAGCATGTGTGAGGCACTGGCTTTGATCCTCAGCACCACATATAAATAAATGAATAAAATAAAGGTTCATCAAAATCAAAAAATATTTTTAAAAAAGAAAATCTAACTGGAAAAGAAAACCATAAATAATATAGACAAAAAAAATTCCTTAGGGGATACTTTAAAAATATATCCATTATACAGTTAGACCTACACCTTGACCAAAATGTTTGCCCAATAATCCCATCCTAAGAGAAAGAAGCCTTTAAAATTATCTCCCACCTCCCTCCCTAATGTTTCTCATCTTTAGACCTTTAGAATGTCTTTATGTCTGACCTTTTCTCCATCCTCCAAAACCTGAATTCTCCCAAGATAAAGGTGCAGAACCCATGCTATTACAAGGTTTTCCATGTAAAATTTTTCTCCTCTTTCAAAAACCTGTCTTTGATACGTAACAAATTTCGGGCAATGAAATTATCCACCATTTACATTTACTTGTGTTTTGCAGAATTTCTTTTTCTTCTTACTTTTTATTTTCCTCTTCTTCTTTTTTGAGATCTGTGTCCTATTCCATTATCAGGATATGGCTGGAATAATGCCCCCACTGCTGTGAACAGATAAGACACATAGGTAATTCACATTCTGAACTCTGCATGTTTGAGAATTACTTTCTTTGCCCACACGGATGAATGATAGATATCTGGATAGAGTTAGGCTCTTGGGTTACTGTACTCATCTAGACCTAGATGTTACCATACTGAGTTTAAACATAGAGTGTGACAGATGAAAGGTCCTATGTTCTTCTCTTCGTTTTCTCTTTGTGAGTAATCTTGTTTCTTCAATGAGAAAGCTGCTAATACTACCTTTTCACACTGTCAAATGGAAATTTCATCAAGATGTTTCTGGGGGTCTGTATGTTTTACTCATCTGGCTTCAGATTCAGTGCAGGCTTGAGTACTTCTTTAATTCGGGTCAATTTTTTTTCTATTACGTACAGCAGATTATTTCCTCCCATGCTGTTCTTTTTTGTCATTCTAGAACTATACATTTACTTGTTGGGGTTGTTGGGTTTGTCCTCCGTAAATGTCATCGTTTCTCTTATGTATCTGTTTTAGTTTTTATTCTGTTTCATTAGGTTTCTGTCACTGCTGTAACATATCACTGCAGATTTCATGGCTTACGTTATGTTATAGTTCTGTAGGTTACAAGTTTGGTGTGGGTCTCAGTGGGCTAAAATCAATGTGTCGACAGGGCTGCATTCCTCTCTGCAGTCTCTAGGGAGGAAACCAAGTTCTTGCCTTTTCCAGCGTCTTGAGGCAGCCCATATTCCTTGGCTTGTGCCCCTGTTTTTCTGTCTTCAGAAGCAGCTGCAACACAGCAAGGCAGCTCCTTGGCCTTCTTCTGTCATATCTCCTCCATACCTGCCTGCCCCTTCTACTTTTAGGATCTTTGTTATTACAGTGAACCCACTTGGATAATCAAAGATAACACTCCCATCTCCTGGTCCTTAATTTAATCACACCTGCAGATCCTCTCTTACCATACAAGGTAAATTGCCCAGGCCCCAGGCATTGGGACATGAACATCTTCAGGGTTCTGTTATTCTGCTTGCAGCACCTGTGTTGTGCAATATTTCCCATTAGCCTTCAGAGAGAGTATTGCCTGGTGTGGTGTATTTCACACTCACTCCAGAGTTCCTGGCTAGAGAGACTAACCACATGCTCTTGTTCTTGTAGAATCCAGTGAACATGAAGACAAGAGTGCAGGTGCCTCAGGGGAGACGCCCTCCCAGCCTTATCCTGCACCCGTGTATGGTCAGCCTGAGGAGCCCAAGGAACAGATGGAGGACACAAAACCAACTAAGCCTGAAGAGAATGAGGAGTCAGATCCATTGCCTGAAAACTGGGAAATGGCCTATACAGAGAAGGGCGAAGTCTACTTCATTGAGTGAGTGTCTACCTTTCTTTGAACACTGCCACAAAATCATAACAGGGTACAAATGATGTGGCAAGTGGAAATATGGGCAAAAGAATACAGCAGATGTTATGGTTTCTAGTAATAGCTTGCTTCTTAGGGAGACAGTAATGGGACAATGCCTTAACAAAGTTTAGGATCTTAGAATACAGCTACATAGATCCAAGAATGAATTAATCAGTTGGTAAAATCTGTCACAATCTTAACTAAAAAAGCAAATCTCCATGTGATGTAACTATTGAATTAGAAATCATCTAGACCTCATGGGGAGTTGCTTCTTCCTCTCCCTCAAGGACCCACATAGAGTCCAAAGAAATCTTCCCTGCTGCTTATGTTGTGATGCCATCAATGTCATTGTCATGTTCAGAACTTTAACAGGATGCAGCTATTTACAGCACAATATTTGCTGGTTCCACAATAAAAAGTTGTAAGCATTTAACCCTGATGTCAGAAGTCAGTAAAATGCTTTGTACAGTTTGCCATAATTCCTTTTGCTAAACTCCATTTTATTTGTTGCGTATCATTTTTATGACTTGCCAAGGAAACTGAAATGCTGGCCCTAAACTCCTTAGGGATGCTCAACGTAATCTTTTTTTTTTTTCTTTTTCTAAAATATTTATTTTTCATATCTTTTATTAGCAATGATAGTTAGCTTTCCTTTTCTTTGTTTCTAATCATAGAACAACTCAAAATTTTTTAATTGCCATATAGCGATTGTGCATATGTAGGGGGCCCAATGTTATAATTTGATACATGTATTCAGTGTAATAAAATCAAGGTAATTAGCATTTCCATTTCCTCAAATATTATCACTTGTGTGTGTTGAAAACCCTTAAAGCCTTCTCCTCTAGGTATTTTGAAATGTATAGTTAATTACTGTGGACGGTAGATGTCATAGCATACATTTAGTAGAATATTTATTGATTTATTTTGCTTTCATTAGCATGTTATAGTTATGCATAATAGTTGTGTTCATTTTGGCAAAATCAGACATGCAAGGAATTTGATTTATTCCATTTTATTTTTCTGCCCCCAGCTCCACTCCTCCCTCCCCCACTCCCTTTCCTCTACTGGTCTTCCTTTCAGTCATTTATTTTTTTTATTTTTAATTGATGGTTTGTACAACACATAAAGGTGGATTTCTCTGTGCATATTTACACAGGCATTTAGTATGATTTTATCAAATTTATACTGAATTTTCTCCCCATTTCCCATCCTTCCTACCTAACTCTCAGTCTCCTTCTTCTATTCCTCTGAACTTCCCTGTCTCTCCTTTTTTAAAATACATGTTTAGTTGTATATGGACACAATACCTTTATTTTATTTTTTCTGTGGTGTTGAGGATCAAACCCAGTGCCTTCACATGCAAGGCGAGCACCCTACCACTGAGCTACAGCCCCAGCCCATCTTCCCTGTATCTTTATGATATCCAAGCCCCCTTTCTTTTTTCCCCCACTTTGTTCTAGCTTCTGCCTGTGAGAGAAAACATTCAACCTTTGATTTTCTGAGCCCGGCTTACTTCACTTAGCATGATATTCTCCATTTTCATCCATTTACTGGCAAATGCCAATATTAGAGAACATCTGTTTTAAAGGAACTCTAAAGTTAAAGATTTTGGCCCCAAATTAAATTGTTGATGTGAATAAGACATTCAAAATGTTCATTAGGAACAGTAAAAACTAAAAATATTATTAACACATAACTCTTATTTTCTCAGAGTTTTATGAGCCTTAGGGAGAAAAAAAATAATAATAGAAACTGAAATTCTCAGTCTGGCAGTAGATGAAAATATGCAATATCTGATTATTCAAGAAAAATATTAAAAACTGGATTCCCTTTCCCAACCTAGAGTGATTTATGACTTAGATCTCCATAGGTAGAACTCAGTTGTGAAATTGAAATGTTACCACATACCAATATTTAATTCTCACATGAAGTTGGAAACTTTGATACATGTGGCCAAGGGAATGCATAATCAGGTAATTATGTGGTACTCTGTTTGACTCCAACATGGATAAGAAATGCAGTATTTTGCAGAAAATGAATCAGTAGCATTCACCTTTCAGCAAATGTTCTAAATTAACAAAAAAACAACAGAATCTCTTGCATGATTTTTTATTGTTATAAACAATGTTACAGAGACACCTTTATTAATTAATTAGGAAAGAAGGTATGTAGAATTTTGTAAAATATAACAAACTAAAAATTCTTCAATACATGTATCTCTAGAAACATAATTTTGAGATTGATAAGCATAGCATGACATCATTACAGATCAGAAGTAAAAATATGAATTTTAGATGTGAAGTCAGACATTGATATTCAGAATAATTAATGTTCAGAAGAAGAAAACTGATGATATGAACATTTTAATTATGCAACATAGGGGGAGTAGGGATATGTGGAAACTATTAGAGGAACCAAATAAGTTGATAAAACAACTGTTTCCACACAGTGTTTCTAATAATGCAATTATAAAAACCTCTTTTCTCTGTGATTAAAATAAACTTTCCTATTTTAACCTGGTTTAGGTTGTGAAGAAAAGGGTCTTTTAAAGACTGAAGTTAAGACTCTGCCCAGGCTTGAAAGAATCTAGGAAAATGATTGCATTATTTTAGTCACTCAGCCAGTGTTGGCATTCAAAGATTCACAAGATGTTATCCTTTCTCTCAAACTTATTATCAAGTTGGAGACTTGATAGTTATAAGCTATTAGTAAATAATTTCTGAATTTTTTGATACTATTCAGAGAAGGATTCACCTAGAACACAATTAAAATGTAAAAGGAGGCATCATGGAAATCGTGAGATTACATGAACTTAAAAAGTTAATAATGTGTGGAGAGGCTTTCCACGTATAGCCTCTGTCATTACGAAGACCCAGTCCCTAGGGATCCCTAGGGGTGAGGAAAGGTCAGGAGAATCCTGAATCTACTAGAGAAGTATGGCTTAATTGCTAGAGTATTAGTGCTTCTGAAAGGCAAGAAAGTAATTGGCAATTTCTTGGTTTTTTTTTTTTTCTCGTTTGTTGTTTATTTTGTTTTTTAATCTCCCTAATGCTGGAGGGAAGGATGGATGGCAATATCAGGAGCAAAGATAGGTGGAGGTGGGACATTAAGACAAAATGGAGAAGATAATTTCATTTGTGGCAAGAGAGCTGATGCTGAGGGAGACAGCCTCAGAGTAAGAAGGATGAAAAAGCCTGCAGTAGAGGCTGAAGTGTCTGTGCAGGAAGGGGAACCTCGGAAGCAGGGGCCATGGCATTGTGAGACTGGCCTGCTTAGGAAGGTCACTGCACAGAATGGAGGGAGCCCCAGCCCACCCCTCATGCTGGACAAGTTTCTGTCCTCCAAAAGCATCACCTTTGAATCTCAAGGCTCAGTTTGATTAGCTCAGGTATGAGTGAGCAGAGAGTGGATCAGTCCCTTTCTTGGTGGTCCTCATTCCCACACCATCTTGTCTGATGGCACTCTTAACTCTGGAATGCCCCTTCCTTTCCCATCTACATTTTCAACTCAACGTTTCCACCCACTTTTGTTGATGTGTGAGTACCTTTGCTGTTGAAATCACAAGGAATTCTTTTGTGAGTTAAATTTGGAATATGAAAGTCCCTTGGAAACAGATCTGGTAGGGCAGGAGACTATGACAGGGGAGGAAGCATGGTTAGACAATGAGGATCTTCCTAGGAACAGAGCTGCGCTGTGTCCCAGAGATAGTCCTGAAGCAAAGTCAAGGTGACAGGAAGCTAAATAAAAAAGAAAGGTAGAACTACATACACCTTGTGGGGTGGCTGACTCCAGTTAGTTAACAGAGGCATCTGCATATCATTTTGTGAGTGTGAATGTGTGTGTGTGTGTGTGTGTGTGGTGAGAGCACTTAAAATCTACTCTCTCTGCAGTTTTCAAGAATACAAGACATAGGACTTTATTTGTCAATAGCAAATGAGTAAAATATTTAATAAATGAAATTTAAAATAAATAAACATTTATTTAAATGTTTTGGAAAAGGAAAGAATAACAAAAGACAAAGATAAAGTAGACAAAAAGAAAAGACCCATGAGGAAAGAAGAGCTAACCTCAGTGAAAACCCTCCACTGGCGCAGATACTGTGACATCCATTTAGGGTAATGGAAGTTTTCCCAACCAGCAGCCCCTGCATCCTCATCAAACTTTACTAGATTTTGTCTCCTGTAAAATGAGTCTCATGATAAAACAGAAAATGAGTGAAACAAAGGAGAAAAAATCTGATTTTGTGTATAAAATATATATCATGCCACACAAACACACACACACACATATATGTATTATTTGTTTGTTTGTTTATAAATAGAACACTGCCTATACTGAAACATTAACTTTGTGCTTTAAAAAGATATGTATAAACATTATGGGTTTTAAATTGAGGTAACAAATAATTCTATTTATTTATCTTCTATGCAACAATGCTTTAAAATATTAATTATTTACTTGGTATTGCAAAATGACTTATATGGCTCATTCTTTATAATTTGTGCATTTAAAGCATGAGCCTTTTTTCTCTTTTTGTTCTCAACCCTGGTGAATTACTGGGCCAGCTATGTTTCCCCCACTCTTCAAACTGCCTCTTTTGATGAATGATGAAAGATTTCTTTTATCATTTATAATATTTAAATGAGTAAAGGTGAATATCTGATAAAGTATGTTTAAAGAACATAATTTTAAATTGTGAGTTGAATATACTCTTCCAAAGATGCTTTAAAATAGTAATAATGTCATGTTTAGCAATTTTCAAAAGACTTTCAAATGCATAATATCATATGAAATCAGTTTTTTCTTTGACTTAGATAATCCTCATTAATATAGCTTTTAAAAAGACAGAATATTTAATTATAAATTCAAATGAGAAATGTGTAAATGCAAATTCAAATAAGGCATCATATCGAGTGCTCACTTTTTTTCAGGTTGTGTTCAGATTACCTTAACAAAAATAACTAACA